GCCACATGACTTATTCCTGGATCAGGGGTAGAACCCATGCCCCCTGCAGTGGAAGCTCTGTGTTCACCAGGGAATTCCCTCTTCAAAAGGAATTCCCTTTTGGCTGAACCTAATTAATCTTTGAGAGCTTTTTTCTTGGTTTTTTAGCAAAACAAAATAACCCACGTCTTTCTGTGTTTTCCTGTTTTGTTTTTTATGTTTCTCTGTTTCTCCAAAAAGTCTTACTTTTTTTTGATAGAAAATGATATTCATAGATTTTAAGATTTGGGTGGTTGGTAATATATACACTGTTACTAGAGTGTCTGTGTTCTGGGCTTCCTTCATTGGACAGAGCTAGAAAACATGTTTTCAAAAACTGTTTATATTAGTATTTTAAATTCCAGTTTAAAGTGAACATTGTTATTGGGATTTGTTACAAGGAAAGTAGATTCAACTGAGTGCAGTTGATTTCTTTTCAGTCCTTTTTCCTTAGACTGTATTCCACTAAAAATGAACAGTTAGAGGACTTCCCTGATAGTCCAGTGGTTAAGAATCCTTTTGCCAGTACTGGGGACACTGGCTCAATCCCTGGGCTGGAAAGATCCACATGCTGTGGGCGACTAAGTCCATGTGCTCTAGAGCCCGTGCTCCGCAACAAGAGAAGCCACCGCAATGAGAAGCCTGCGCACCACGGCTAGAGGGTAGCTCACCACTACCCCCATCACTGCAGCTAAAGAAAGCCTGCCTGCGGAGGGAAGACCCAGCACCGCCACCCTCTCCCCGCCCCCACAAAAAAAAAGAACTGTTCAAAAGTTACTTGAAATGACACTTTTTTGTTTATTTGAGCAATTTGATTAGTTTTGACTATTAAGTCAGACTTTTTGCTTTTTGTTCATGATTGGGTGTGTTTTTTTCTTTACTTTTTAATATAGTAAATATTTACATGGCTTAAAACTTGATACAGTATTGAAAGATTTTGTAAATCTTGCTTCTGTTTCTGAGCTGTCTGTTCCTTTCTCACTCAACCAAAGTATGGTATGTTTATGTCTGCATCCTTATTTTCTTTTTCTTACAAAAGAGGTATACTATAAAAATTGTTTTTTAAAAAAATTATTTTATTTATTTATTGACTGTACTGGGTCTTTTCTCTAGTTGTGGCCTTCGGGCGCTGCTTTCTAGTTGTAGGGCGTGGGCTTGTCATTGCTGTGGCTGCTCTTGTTGCTGAGCCGTCTAGGAGTTGTGGGCTTTAGTAGTGGCAGTGCAAGGGCTCAGTAGTTGTGATTCCAGGGCTCTGGCTCAATAGTTGTGGCATAAGGGCTTAGTTGCTCTATGGCAATAGGATCTTCCCAGACCAGGGATCGAACTTGTGTCTTCTGCATTGGGAGGCAGATTCTGTTGTTTTCACTTCTCGATTATAGCAAATAATACTGCTATGAACATTTGTGTACAAGTTTTTGTGTGGATATAATGCTTTTGGTTCTCTTGGGAATGTACCTAGAATTAGAATTGCTGGGTATTATGGTAATTATATTCTTAGAATTTAGGGAAATTCTGACCTGGTTTCCTAAGAGGCTGAACTATTTTATATTCATTCCTACCAACAGTATATGAGGGTTCCAGTTTCTCCACATTCTCACCAACCCTGTATGAAGTGTTTTCCCTTTGTGTTTTGATTTGCATTTTCCTAATGATGCTTAGTGTCTTTTCATGTGGTTATTAATCGTTTGTATATCTTTAGAGAAGCAGCTATTGTCCACTTAAAATATTGGTTGTCTTTTTAATATTGAGCTGTGAGAGTTCTTTATATATTCTAAATGCCAGTCCCTTATCAGTTACATGATTTGCAGAATTTTTTTCTAATTATGTGGATAGTCTTTTCGTTTTCTTTTTTTTTCTTTTAATACTTCTATTTATTTTTGGCTGTCTGGGTCTTCCTTGCTGGGAGGGCTTTCTCTGTTTGCAGGGGGCTGGTGGTGGGGGGGCTCCTGTGGTTGCTGTGCTCAGGTGTCTCATGGTGGTGGCTTTTGTTGTGCAGCACAGGCTCTAGAGTGCACGGATTTCAGTAGTTGCAGCACGTGGGCTCAGTAGTTGCGGCTCCCAGGCTCTAGAGCACAGGCTCAGTAGTTGTGGTACATGAGGTTCGTTGCTCTGTCGCATGTGTGATCCCTCTGAATCAGGGATCAAACCCGTGTCTCCTGCATTGGCAGGCAACTTCTTTACCAGTGAGCCACCAAGGAAGCCCTGTCTTTTCACTTTAAAGATGGTTTTATTGAAGCACAAAAACGTTGTAATTTTGATGATGTCCAGTTTGTCCATTTTTTCTTGGGTTGATTGTGCTTTTGGTGTTGTATCATAAAAAGGCTTCCCCTAACCTGAGTCACAAATATATATGTTTGCTGCACTTAGTGCAGCTAGTAATTGGTTAAGCAATTGATTTTCCCAACGAAAAATGTAGATTGTTTTCCATGAGTATGCCTAAGAAAATGAATTTGACTGTTTAGAAAGCTCTGATTAGTTTGCCTTTGTGGTAAGAAATTAATAAGCTTTAGTTTTAGCTGTAATAAAAGCAATTTTATGTAACTATACTGAACCTTTATAAAGGGGAGATTCACATAAAAAAGGATATATGTTTCATTGGTGAAATTTTTTTAAACTTTACTTTTTAACTCAGTAATTATATCCTTAATAACCAGTGTATTTTTGAAATTCAGACTGATTTGTTTGAAGGAAAGACCAAACTAAGACAGTATGTGTCATAGGGTAAAAACACCACAAATGCCAATGACTGAGGAACTAGTTAGGATTGTAGGCCAATGTGGGTAATAAAAGCAGAAGCGGAATCACTGTGCCAAAATCAGGAGGCACTCAAAACCTTAAGCTTTTCACTTTATCTTGCTGTTGACAAATTTGAAATATTCAGGACCATCTGCTTAGGATTCTGCCTTTCGTAATGATTGTGTGTTTTGTTAAATGTTTTTACATTCAGTTTAGTTGTTAAGCTAAATTTAAAACTGAGTTGAAAAGAAACTGGAAAATTCTTACATGCTCTCTGTATAATCTTGAAATTTTAGAATTATTTAACTTTAGAGGTCATAAGATCTAGACTCTTAAAGAAGCAGGATTGAAGAGATTAAATTTGTTCAAAGTCACACAGTGGAAGAATACAGGTCACTTGAATGCCTGTGTAGTATTCTTTTCTCCACCTTAAAAAAAACCCCCCAAACCCATCAACATTTCAGTGTAACTTTGGAGAGTGTAACTTTTGTTCACTGTCTTCGTGAGAGAGCTAAAATTATACTTTTACATAGTCAGAAAAGTCTAAAATAAGAAGATCTTCCATCAGGAAGTAAGTGATCATATTATTCTGTGGTCTTGAGGTTGTTATATGTAGCTTTGTTTAAAATTATTACCACCTGGGACTTTGTTGTACTTCTATTTTAGTAACTATGATTTCAGCTTTTAAATCTAGTATTTGACAGAATATTTTTTGGTAGGTATTTTAGAAATTAATTAAATTATTTGGTCATGCTGTGGGGCTTGTGGGATCTTAGTTTCCTGACCAGGGATTGAACCTGAGGCCAAGAGAAACGTAGAGTCCTAACCACTGGACCACTGGGGAATTCCCTCTTGGTAGATATTTTTTATCCAAACATGCTGCATCTCAAATGAGTAGCTAGGTTCCTCCCTCGTGTGTGTCATGTTCTCAAATTATAGTTTTTCTTTTTACCACCCACATTTTCTACCCACAATGTTCATTTGCAGCTGTGTTTTTTACAACAGTTTTGTGCCCAGAATGTTCATTTCCAGTTCATTGCCTATGTTCATAACCCTACTTAGTAATTTCTTTTATAAGTTATTTTATCTTTAGGCATTTGTTCATTCATACTTTAATACTGCATGCGTGCTAAGTCACTTTGGTCGTGTCAGACCCTTGGTGAACCTGTGGCCTGCAGCCTGTCAGGCTCCTTTGTCTGTGGGGTTCTCCAGGCAAGAATACTGGAGTGGGTTGCCATGTCCTTCTCCAGGGGATCTTCCCAGTGCAGGGATCGAACCCATATCTCTTATGTCTCCTGCATTGGCAGGTGGGTCCTTTATCACTAGCCTCATTACCAAAAAAAGTGAAGAGTATAAGGGGATATACAGTGATCTATCTCTTCCTTGTGGCTGTCCTCCAAGCCTCTTTCATCTATCCAGTAACTATAGTTATCAGTTTGTTGTGAATTTTTCCAGTGATAATTTGTGTTATATATATAGAAAATGTGGAGCTTCCCCTGGTAGCTCAGCTGGTAAAGAAACCACCTGCAATGCAGAAGACCCTGGTTCGATTCTAGGTCGGGAAAGATCCCCTGGAGAAGGAATAGGCCATCCATTTTAGTATTCACGGGCTTCCCTGGTGGCTCAGGAGGTAGGGACTCCGCCTGCAGTGTGGGAGACCTGGGTTTTGATCCCTGGGTTGGGAAGATCCCCTGGAGGAGGGCATGGCAACCCACTCCAGCTTTCTTGCCTGGAGAATCCCCATGGACAGAGGATCCTGGCAGGCTACAGTCTGTGGGGTCAGAGTCAGAGCTGACTGAGGGACTAAGCGCAGCACGTAGCACGTGTATTTACTGCAGATGTGTGTGTGTGTGTGTGCGCCTTTTTTATTGCTTCTCACATCCATGGTAGTAGTCTGTGCACTGCTTTGTACTGATTTTCACTTAACAATACATCTTGGAGATTCTAAATAGAACTACCTTCTTTATAATAGTTGCTTAATATGTATTGTATGGGTATTTCATGTTAACTAGTTCTCTAATTCATAGACATGGGTAGTTTCCAGTCTTTTGTTATTAAACACAGTGCTCCATTGAATAGCCTTATGGATATGTGTTTGTGCATGTGTGAGCCTATGTAGGGATAAATTCATGGAATGGAAGTGCTTGGTCAAAGAAAGTGTACTGTCAATGTGTGAATATGATTGTTTTTCTCACATCAGACTATCACTTCTATTATCATAGTTTCTGCTTTCCTTTTTTTTTTTCACATGTTTTCGTATTTTATTAAATCTTACTAGTATTCCTTAAGGAATAAACACACAGGTGAGTAGGCTACAGTGAAGAAATCTTTTTATAAGAAAGTTACGACATTAAAAGATATTTCCAGGTATTATCTTCAGTGATGTTTCTTATCTTTTTTCTGGGACTCCAGGTAATATTCAGCCCCTACAGCTTCCACAAATGCAGCAAATCCCCACTTGAATCCTTTTAATAATGCTCCAACAAAGGAAACATTATTTGCAAAGCCACCCATGTATCTCCAAGCTTCATTGCGGCCCCATGGATCCCTTAGTCCTCGTGCAGCCAGTTTCTCCTGGATAGTTTCCAATGGTGTCCCTTCTATCTTCCATTGTTTATAATCTGGAAGTTCCATTTTACTAGGACCATGTTCATGTTCATGTCCATGGGCCATGTCTGACAGCAATCTGACCTCTCAGGACACTCAAGCAGTTTCTGCTTTCTTGAATGATATTACTTCCTAGTAAATGATGAGTCATTTTCAGCATGAGTAACAAGGGGAATTTAAAATCACTAATTTGTCCCTTTTTGATAATTTTCATGTGATACATATTCCTGGGATGATTGATTATTGCCTACAGTAGTGCTTTCTATACTTTTTGGACCCCATAGGAATCTGATAAAAGTTATATATTTCTTCCTAGAAAAAAAAGTGAATACCCATATTAGAATTTTACCTGTAATTATGAGGTGGGAGGGTCATTGAAATCCTTCTTTTCTTAAATTTAATTTTAACACCAAAAACATTTTGTGTTCGGGTTCAGTTCCAGTTCAGTCGCTCAGTTGTGTCCAACCCTTTGCGACCCCATGGGCTGCAGCATGCCAGGCCTCCTTGTCTATCGCCAACTTCTGGAGTCTACACAAACTTATGTCTGTTGAGTCGGTGATGCCATCCAGCCATCTCATCCTCTGTCATCCCTTCTCCTGCGCTCAATCTTTCCCAGCCTCAGGGTCTTTTCAGATGAGTCAGCTCTTTGCATCAGGTGGCCAAAGTATTGGAGTTTCAGCTTCACCATCAGTCCTTCCAGTGAACACTCAGGACTGATCTCCTTTAGGATGGACTGGTTGGATCTCCTTGCAGTCCAAGGGACTCTCAAGAGTCTTCTCCAACACCACAGTTCAAAAGCATCAATTCTTTGGTGCTCAGCTTTCTTTATAGTCCTACTCTCACATCCATACATGACTACTGGAAAAACCATAGCCCTGACTAGATGGACCTTTGTTGGCAAAGTAATGTCTCTGCTTTTTAATATGCTGTCTAGGTTGGTCATAACTTT